TTTCCCCAAATAGCACCTGACCCTTTCCTCCCTTGGAAAGTAAAAATAAACTTCCTCCCTGCATCTATCTCTTCTCTCAGTTGTGAATTCTTTCACAGATCGTGTCACTGGCAAAAACCTTACACACTTACTTATACATTCATTGGTTGATTCTGGTATGTGTCCTGACCAAACCAAATCCTTGGTGTATCCGGATGGCCCTCTAAACAACTGAGTTACACACCCAGGCCTACATGCCATTCTAAGTAGTGTGATGAACTCTCCAGCTGTCCAACTTCAACTTGCCAGGGATGTGAATCATCCCTTTGTCCAACGTATCCATGCTGTATACACTATCCAGCTGTTAGTCCCTTAGTAACTGTCTCCATTATTAGATCAGACTATCACAGTATTATAGTGCCTGTGTCCACATAATCATTATTTTACTTAATAATGGTCTGAAAACACAAGAGTAGTGATGCAAACAGCATTCTGCTGCAGCTGTAACCCCGTGCCCAACCATGGATGAGAATGGAAGGAGTCAGCGTTCTGATTAAAAAATACAAACCTAAAAAAAACAACAACAAAACAAAACAAACAAAAAACAAAAACAACCTGAAACCTGGGCATGTAGCCTGACCAGAAATTGAACCAAGAGCCTTTGGTGCCCAAGATAATGCTCTAAGCAACTGAGCCACATGGGCCAGGGCAACACACATATTTTAAAGGGCTTATATCTGAAACAGAAAATGAACATTCAATGTTCAACAATATAAAATTAAGCAACTCAATAAGTAATGAGCAAGAAAATGGAACAGATACTGTGCTAAAGAAGACAATGGAAGACCAGAAAGCTACTGAGAAGATGTTCAACCTCATTCATCTTTAGGGAAACACCAATTAAAGCCACAGTGAAATGCTACCACATGCCTATAAGCTTAGCTAAAATTTAAAATAAAATACTGGCAATTTGGATATGCCAAAGAGAAGCCATACAGTGCTTCCTTAAAGTGAAAAGGTGAGTAAAATACAATAAGATACTTTGAGAGAAAGAGACCATATTCACACAACTTTTATTCCAGCATGTTACTATAATTGTTCTATTTGTTAATAGGCTTATTGTTAATCTCTTACTGGGCTTAATTTATAAATTAAACTTTTATACGTATGTATATAAAGAAAAAAACATAGTTTATATATAAGTTTGAATACTATCCCCAGTTGAAAGCATACCCTGTGGGACTTGAAACAAGCTAACACCTAGAAAACTGCCCAAGAGAAATGAAAACTAATGTGGACAGAAAATTTGTTTGCATATGTTCATAGAAGTTTTCCCAGCTGCTCCGGTGACTGTACACTGAGGTTGGACGAATACCCAGACATATCTAGGACTACTGGACACAGAGTCTAAGCTGACATTGATCCTGGAAGCCCGAAGTGTCACGATGGGGAGAGGGGGCGCAGGGGGAGCTATTTGAGAGGGGCTTGTGGGAATAGAGTCTGGTTCACAGTGAGCCGACCTGGTGTTTCGATCAACAGATGAACACAGTGGATGCTTCTCCAGATCCCAAGTTATGTGCCAGTGGTACACTTGGCAGTTGGAGCAATGAATCCCACAGGGTCATTGGTCTGTGGGGTAAGAGCTATCGTGGTGGGGAAGGCTAAGTGAATCCCCTGATACTGGCCCCACCCCAGGCCAAGATAGTAGGCCAAAACCAAAAATGGGGATATTGCGGGAAGGGCGTTAGCAGAGATTGGTGAGGACCTACAAAAAGCAGGGAAACTGGAGCCAGTAGAGCCCCAGGGATGAGGAGAGTGGGGGAGGTGTGGAGAAGTTCTAGGATTCTCCCTGTGGGGTAGAGAGGGAAGGAGGATGGGAGGGAAGAAATGGAAATGGCCAGAGGGATGCTGAGGCTTCCACTGGACGGATGGGTAATGTTTCCTAGGACCGTGGTGGGTACAGGAGATTTTGCTATATCCTTCCTCATCCATCTTAGCAGGTCGGAAGTAGCCCACCATGTCTTTAAAAGTCACTGGGAGGAGTGGGAGAGGGCATCAGCCACACACAGACAGAGGTTGGGGGGAGGGGAGGCGGGGCACACTTGAGGAGGAGGATCAGAGATTTAGAGTGTACCCAATCTCCCTGCTGCATAACCTTCTCTATCAGAGCCAGAAAAATTGGGTCTTTGAGTGCCCTCTGGCAGGAGGTGTTCAGACAGCTCGGGCCTCTCTAGGGGATCAGCCAGAGTAGGCTGCAGGAGGGGGAGGCGACTGGAAAGACAGAGGAGTATGGCCCGACCAGGCATGGCTCAGTGGTTGAGCATCAGCTTATGAAGCAGGAATTCACGGTTGGATTCCTGGTTAGGGCACATGCCCAGGTT